CTCTCTCTCTCTCTCTCTCTCTCTCTCTCTCTCTCTCTCTCTCTGTGTGTGTGTGTGTGTGTGTGTGTGTGTGTGTGCATGCATGCGCATTCAAAATTGAAATGGCCAAGATTATTATTAGCCAATAAAAAACCAATTCCTATGTTTGCCTGAAATAAAAGCAAAGAAAATAATTAGCTTTTGTAAGGATAATTTCATCTTTGAAATTGCGAAAGGAGGAGGAAGTAAAACCCTAAACAGTGTAAACACGAATTGAAAACCGAGGAGTTTGCCAAGGCACATGCAGCACCATACAGCTGCGAAAATGGAAAAGGTTGCACTGCTTTTTTTTTTCTTCTATTGTTTCCGAGTATTTTTTGTATGCTGAGCTGAGCACCCTCAAGCAGTGCCAAACAGTCGGTCATTCCTCGTTTGGAGTGCCTGCAACACTCTTAGGGAGGGCGTTCAGTTCGGCATATCTGTCTACCATCTGGGTGACGACGGATGTTCGTCGGTATGACTCCCTGGCTCAGCGGGTGGTGGTGGGAATACTGCTATCCACATTAGCCCAAGGGATATTCACAGCTCTCTATAGTGAGCAGGAGATGCCTACACATCTGTTCTACTCAGATTGGGAGAATGTGGTAGGCATCAGTGCAACTAAATAGGTAGAAACAATGAATTAACTCTTAAGGCAGAGAAGTTGAGAGAATAGAGGCTGTCAGCCAGTGGTGTATGACTTCAAATTGCTTGTTAAAAGAAAATGAAGCTTTCAAACTTTGCAGAGCGACTCCAAGCTAAATGTGGTAGACATCAGTGCAACTGAATTGGTAGAAACAATTAATTAACTCTTTAAGGCAGAGAAATTGAGAGAATAGAGGCACTAAGCCGGCGGTGTATAGCTTCAACGAATTGCTTGTTAAAAGAAGATGAAGCATGCAAACTTTGCAGAGTGACTCCAACAAAGCTAGAAAGACTTTAGGTCTGACAATGGCTTTTTTTGTTCAAGTCTTTTTTCTTTTCTTTTCGCAACTCCGCCTGGTTGGGGCAGCCAGCTAAATCTGGAAGGTGACGTTCATCTTTCTCTGAAAGGTTGCAGGTGCGTCGCAAATGCGCATAGGGTAACGAATCCATTGCCATGTCCCCTTAAATAAAACGAACGTCGTTTTTGGCCTATCCCCCTCCTTTACCAGGATATGGTGGAACCCGTGGCGAATATCAAACTTGCTAAAATAACTGGCACATCCAATCGCATCCAACAAATCATCAATCGTGGGCAGAGGTAACGCCATCATTACGAATGTAGATGTGGCTTGAAGGGTCACAGGCACTGATCTATATTAGTGGGGATCAGCACATGTTGGAAAATGGGTCCAGCGTCCCTTTTGTTTAACAAAGAGAAGTTGTCAGTTCATACCGTGACTCAAACGGTCACCCCAGAAATAAGAAATAAAATAGACACAAGGTAAGATCGTATATCAAAACGACTTCCGGCATCATCAAAAGGGATAGGGGTCAAAAATTCAATCTGATTCACTGGAAGATCCTCATTGATTGAGTCAGCCCCCTTTCACAACGAGCTGGATTACCTGGCTGCAAAACACAACAGCATCTGGAGATTCTGGACTAACTACCGACCTCTTCAGCTTATTGAAGCCCGCCAGAGCCGCCCCAAACAGTACGCTGTTTTTCTTATCTTGTATCTGTAGCTTCTCCCCCAGCTGTCACTGGGCCATCTTCAAGATCTTAGTTCTTCTTTCGCAAAGCTTTTTATGTTTGAAATACCACTACCTCCGACCGTCTTTTTCCCATTGCAAATTTTGTGCTGCGTACCCAGCCCTAGACGAACTTCCAAAGCACTCACCCTCTTTTTTTTCTTTTTGGCTGGCAACCACCAGCCAAAGAGGTCCGGGAGGCCGAGCCCCCGAAGAATGCAGTGGTGGACAAATTCGTAGCCAAACTTTGCCTGTGAAAAGGTAGTGGTGGCTTACCAGCTGAGGCTTGACCGGCATTACATACTGTGGCCTGGCAGGCATCGGACAGCAGCAAGCATCTCTGCAAGCACACATCCAAGCAATCAGAACCCCATCGAAAAGCGGAAAAGGGATATCCGGGCCAAACCCGAGAGATTGAGAGGGGCCCAAGCAGGCTATCTCAGTTGGTGTGAGCACGGAAGTGGTTTGCAGGAGGTCGTGGGTTCGATTCCCCAAGACAGTCCATCTCCACGGCCTCCTGTGATGCGCTTCGGGTTCTCCAGCGGAGAAATTTGGCTTGGGCCTCCTGGCTGGCTGGGAAGCGACCATTTGCGCCTTCCATCTCCCACCTGGTGTTAGAAGCTTGGGTGCTGCTCCCCACACAGAGCAGATGTGGCTTCTTAACTCAGGAGAGATTTCCTGCCTTGGGCACGAAAAACCCTGTAGTGGATTGCTAAGCTGCATGTAGGTAGGTAGGTAGTGGGAGATGTATCGAGAGAAGAATATAGGTTAGTTAAAAAAAGAAAAAGAAAAAAAGAGAGAGAGATTGAGAGGGGGACAGAAATCAGGAAAGCGTGCCAGGGGTCTCATCGGAAAGCTACAGTAGAGTCGAATGCAACCGAGTCCTTAAATCTCCAGTCTGCAGTCCCTCTTGATCTTGGGGTTAAATTCTTCTTGATATGGACATTACTTAAGCGAGTGACGAGAATGATCACATAATCGACAATCATCATTTTAGAGGCTACCTTCTTCTCCCGAATACAACGTACGGTCGTTATAGCTGTATTTAGACTTAAGGATACCCCAAATACAGCTGAAATTACCGTACGTTGTATTCGGGGGAAGAAGGTAGCCTTAGCCATTCCATCGAAGAGGAGCCTAAGGAATTATGCGCCCAATGAAAGCATCTTTCAGGGTAACCTCACTCAAAACATATATTGCTGGCAATTGCAAATGTCAAATGTTTCTTCTGTGTGTCGTTTTGTGTGTGTGCTTATGTGCTTGTGTGTGTGTGTGTGTGTGTGTGTGTGTGTGTGTGTGTGTGTGTGTGTGTGTGCGCACCTGCGTGGATTGGGTCCAACAGTATTACTTGCAGTCATTTCACAGCTATCCAGAGGGCAACTTGTCGTGGGATGCAGCGTTGGAGAGTGATCTGGCCTCTAAGAGTGTGCACGCCACAGTTTTTACAAAGAGTGCAAAGGTGAGGGTAACATCTCACTACTGCCCCCTTAGCATGGGCAAAAATATTACAGTCCACTCCACAGTGTCTGTGCAGTCGATTACTTTTTCTTGCTCAAGCCCTGCTGTCTTGGTGCTCATGGAATTTCAGTCGTCGCAGCTTCTTCCTCGATGATTTCCTTGTCCCACATGTGAAACCAACAACAGTTGTCATCACTCTCCTCCTCCTTATCTTGATCTTCATCCTCTCTCACTCCCCAACCATTCTCTCCCTCCCCTATTATCATGACCGAGCCAGCAAACACATCGTCACGTTGTCATCTAATCAGTCGTATGCTTGCTGGCTTTGAGCTACACAGTGTTAAGATTGCTGTGTTCAATTCAGACAATCGAGTTCAGGAACATAAGAAAAATGACTGTCGCTATTCTAGCTTTGAGAAACAAATGTTGTTGTCAAGACGACCAGATTAACTTACCTCAGGTCTACATTTGAGAAGTTACAAGTCATCCTCTTTACATTGATGTAAGCAGTACACAAGTACAAATGTTCCTTTTTTCCCTGCTTTTCCTCCCCCTCTCCCCTCCTCCCCCCCCCCCCCCCCCCTCTCCCCCCATTGATGTATAGAGTCTGACACCTGCCCGGTGCTTGAAGGTGAAAAGGAGAAGTGACATAAGCTGGGAATGGAAGCCCCAGTAAACGGTTGAAAAGATGTTCCTCAGCAAGTCAAGCTCGGACCTGCATACCGAGTCCCCCCTAACCGTCAAAGGGGCCACACCCTGGAGCGAAATGAATCCACCTTCCAAGTCAGGTCAAACAGGCAATCATAGAAAACTATTGATGTCTTTGCAGACATCCATCCATCCATTAAAGGTTGGAACAATACACAGAAGAAGATTAGCCACCGCTGGGATAGAGGGCTGGCACAAGGGCTTAAAAAAAAAAAAAAGAAAAAAAAAAAAGAATATGATTCACAGGTAAGTTTAACGCAATCGGTTGACAGCGTGGAGACAAAAAATCGACGAGAAAATGAAATAGACTGACGATGAAAGCAAGTCAATGTGCAAAAAGCATGTTTACAGGACACACTTCAGGATTTACTTCAGCTTCAAAAGGTACAGGATTGGCGTCCCCGATGCGGTGTTTAAACGACCCCTGCGCCGTCATCCTCAGGGGGGTACCGCCTTCTTCTCCCTCATCCTCAAACCTTCCCATCCACCACTACCGTCTGTATTTGGGCCAGAACGCCTGGTCATTATAGCTGAATTTGGGCCAACTTCCAGTCTAAGTACAGCAATAATGACCGGGCATTCTATTTGGGTGAAGACGGTAGTCTCCACTTCCGCGCACTCTGTTTAACACTCCGGGATGTTAGAAGTCCGCTCAAAGAACTCTTCATTTCTGAATGGCGACGCTTCGTTACCTTGACACCTGTCAGAATTTTCTCCGGCGACGCTTCGTTACCTTGACACCTGTCAGAATTTTCTCCGGTGACGGTTTGTTACCTTGACACTTGTCAGAATTTTCTCCTCATCCCCTCGAGAGGCGGCTGTCAAAAACTCTTGGGCGTGGAGAACGGGCCGGACATCGTGGTCCAGTGACGGGGATGTTCTTAGACCTGGTTGCCTAGCCTCGCAAGGAGAACATCCATCGCCTGGCCGTTAGTACAGAATGTCCTCGGGCCTGGTTGCACCCACTGCTCCTGATGTTTCCACTGCTAGCATGTGCACCGAAGCACCCAGTGTTTCGTGCATTGCGATCTGCTTGTTGTTTCCGTCACATGCAGTGACCATGGCTGTGTCCACATCCCCTCCATGACTGGCGTTGTTCTCTTCGCGTGCTTGTGTTTGCACCCTGTCAGTCGTGGAGGTCCTGTTTTCTGCAGATGGCATGTCCCTGAATGCTGTGTGTACAGGTCATCCCAGCTGGTTCGGCTTGACGTGTTGGTGGTGGAGGGGACTGCAGCAGTTCCCACAGAGGGGGGCAACGTGCCGCCACAGCTGCTCACCGTTGCCCGACCTGTGTTTTGGCTGGGTGGGTTTTGAGAGTCACTGTTGTTGAAGGGGGAATGGTGGGCTGTGTATCCCCTCGCCCAGAGGCGGGTAAGGCAGGACCTGCAACGGCGCCCGCCCGCATTGCATCAATGCAAAGCAACCCAATGAGATGGAGGCAGCACTGTCGACTACAGTGCTGCACGGTCATGGCGTAACTGCCCGCCAGCACAGGGCCGTGTCATATCCCGGCATCATCGCCATTATCGCAGTTCTTGCTTGTGATCTCGCACGTTTGTATTTCCTTGGGGTCTGGCATCTGCTACTATGCATCACGTCGCTTGCATCAGTACGTACCAGGTGGAGCATTGGGGGCCACTGGCCATGGTGTTGGCCATTCCATATCTGTTTCTGAGTTGTCCGGGCATTTGGGATTGGTCGACAATGCTGGACCTCATTGCATGTGGTGCAGAAGATCTCCCCATCAACGGAAGCACCGGCCCTCATCTGGTGGTCTCCTGATATGCAGGCACAGAGCGTGACAGGGGACACTCTGAAACTGAGACGGTGGAGTAGGTCGTTAATGATCAGCTACGGCAATGAGACGCCTTCACTGGAAGGTACGGTGATGCGCATCCAGTGGTTGTGCATGGGGAGTTGTGTGCCTCCTCCTGTGGCAATGAACCTCACCCACGATGGAAGAATGACTCCAAGCTTGCCCGATCGGCAGCTGGGAAATAGTTCATCTCCCACATGTCGTGGAGTGCTTACTAAGTACTCCTCTCATCTGGAACATCAGGCATCAAAAGTCATGAAACAGGGCAGCAGTTTGGTGACCCTGTGGCATGTCCCAAGGTCATTGATAATTTGATATCAGTGTGCCACACAGATCTGCTGCTTGGGGGGGGGGGCAAAGGGTGCACCAACTGGTTATCGCAGACTCTCTCCGCATGTGAGGGAGATGGATCAGCGCATACGGGGGCACATCGGATAGAGAGGCAGTTTGGTGGCCGTGTGGCACACCCCGTTACCATTGACATGGACGTGCCACACAGATGTGCGGCGCGGGAGGGGCGCATGCACATCAACTGATTGCCCTCCGTTGTCCGGTGTCGATGATCAGTGGGCCTTAACATGGGCGTTGCAGAGTCCCCACACCCAAGGTGATGGGTCAGGGTATGCAGGTGTGAGTGTCCATCGGTTGCGATTGTGGACACAGTCCCCAGCATCAGGGTTGGCGGTTTCCACCAATGCACCTTTGACTCTGACTCCCCTGTCATTGGGAGGTGCTGGCGGTGCGTCTTTGACTCTGACCGCCGCAGTGCCCGTGGTGAGAGTATCCACAGGCAGCGGCACGGCAGTAAGCCGGGCGGGTGTAGGTTGTGGGAGGGGGCGCAGACAATCAAATGTGGGGCATTAAAGGAGTCATCCGCCACAAGATCATCTTCATCTGGTGACCCTGCGGTCGGCAAATATGGTCACACCTGTGCACACAGTTCACCATGTGGCGCACCAGAGGATACGTCTGAAGCATAGCAAGGATTTTCTGTATGGGAGTTGGATGCAATCGGTGCGCTTGTTCTGCAAGCGCGAGTATGACAATGTCCAAGAGTGGCACGGCAACCTCGTCCAACCTCTCGCCGCGGTTCCAACATCCACGGGTAAGATGGGAGGAGGTCGCAGATAGGCAGTGGGCGCGGAGCTACGAAAAGCCTACAGATCATTGCATGAGCAAGTGGGAGAACGTAATGTCACAATACAGGAAATTCGCGGACAGTCAGGGAAAGTCTGGTGAGAGGAGCTTCTTCTGGATGTCCGGCAATGAGGGGAGGAAAAACAAGGTTGCATGCTTGCTGAACAAGGCCCCGTTTACAAGGCCATCAACAAGTTCTACCTCAAAGATAACTTTCCAGCTACCATCTTCACCCAAATAGAACGCCCGGTAAGTATCGCCATATCTGGGCTGAAAGCTGTGCCAAATACAGCAATAATGTTACATGCTGCGCCTGCAGAGGAGGGCCAATTTCAGGCCCTGGGTCGTTTCAGCCTGAAAGCCTGAAAACAAGGACCTACAGGCCCTGTGTCGTTTCAGCCTGAAAGCCTGAAAACAAGGGCCTACAGGCCCTCTGTCGTTTCAGCCTAAAACAGGGCCCTCCAGGCCCTGAGTCTTTTCAGCCTGAAACGGAGGGCCATTTTCAGGCCCTCATAAGAT